GTTCGCCTGCCGTCCGGAGGATCCGGGTTCGATACCCGGTCGGCCCGCCTTTCCGTCGGAGTGGGCGCTCAAAAATGGGTGCAATCGAGGCGAACTTACAGGCAATGACAGACGGGCAACAAATATTGACCACTTACTGAGGGATAAGCAGACCTTAAGTAGGAACAAAGCGGGGGGAAAACGAGCAGCAAGAAAACGAAACGGTGTCATAATAAACAGGTGTAAGTCATGTTACTCATGAGTAGTCAGAAAACAAGGAAAGTTACCCTTGTTCACCGGTGATTTACAGGAGGAATCGACAGTGGTGGTGGCTTCTCTGAGGAACTGGTTTTGGGAAGTGAATGCATGAACCGGATCGGAAGTCCTTCTCATTTTCGTATATAGTGGTCTGGCTACCCAGTAAGTTACTTTACCAGGAGTGCGTGGCAAAGTAATAAAAATAGTAACATTAGATTAAGGATATAACAATAAATAGGTCCAATGGAACTAACTCACTAATAATTGCTCTCTTTAAAACAGTCCTTCATCGGCCCAGGTCGGCGAATATACAACAATTCAATTATGGTTTTCCAAGAGTCTTGTTGTGAACAGTCTCCACATGCAATAGATTCCAAAGATAAGCTGAAATGTTTTGACACCAGAGTTGGCACATTAGACTCGCGAATGACCGCCGTAAGCGCGAGTAACATCAGAAGTCAGAGTCGGAGCACGTGGCCACGTTTTTATTGCGTGAAATTGTAAAACTGCGCCTTTTCGTAGTTTTTTGTACTGAAATAAAACGGGTTATGCAATTGACAAAATACGTAGTGTTATAATGGGAGTAAAATAAAGGTACGAAACACCACACTACTCTCCCACTAGTCCTAAACACATTGAGAATAATACGCCGTGGAACTTTTGAATTAGCGAATTGTAACAAACGGCCGCTACGCCATCGGCCGGTCATGAAAGCGGGCTTCCGAACTTCGCTCACTGAGTATAGTTGACTAGGAGTGAAATTGAACATTTTGGTATTTCAACACTGTTTGTTGCAAAATTTTTCGAAATATGTTCAGAAATTCTGACGGATGACCATCGCCTATTGCTATCAAAAGTAGACTGAAAACGGTAAATCCAGGTGATGATTTGAATGTCATATTCAATTCGATTCAGAGCGATGGCTGGGTTTAATGCTGAATGATAGCTAGTGCGATATAGTAAGTGTCCCAATCTGCTCAACCTTAACTGATCTTCCGATGCTGGATACATCGATTATTCGCGGGAGATCTTTGCTTCACCGCGTAAAAGATGTTGCATTTGAATTGTATAAAATGAATAGGTAGGCCTGGAATCCAAAACGTATCCACATACAGTCCTTTCTTTCTTCACACAACGTGTTTCTGACTACCCACATCACTTCTTTCAATAAAGTTTGGCAAGAGCTTGACGCTTGTTTTTTCGGAACTCGATTGAAGGTTAACTGTAGCCTTGGATGTGCATGTATATTCAAGACTTTTCACCTTAATCGCCTTAATCTTAATCAATCATATTTTATGCTGTACAAGGCTGTCTACTAAAGCAGTAGTACCCTAGGAAGAAACGTGCTAACCGCGAAAGTCAAAAAACGGTTGGATGCCGCCGCTCAGATTTGAGCTGCCGAGTAGCATGCCCTCGGCATAAGCTTACCCCACTTGGCCATCAAGCCACGGGAAGATGTTGGTGCAAACTTTTACTAAGCATATAGGTCTTGCATGAGTCTTACGTTATGTCATGGATGACGCGACTCGGGCCAGCCAATCATTTGCTTTAGTTTGGCTTGCGCATGAATCAGCTTCCTGTAGCGACGCCTCCGGACGGTGCACGTACCCGTCGTTCTTAGTATTTGCATAATGGAATTGAAATTTCAGTAGCTACGACTTGTCACTGATGAACTGGAAGAGACAGACGAGTAGGAGTCTAAACTCTTGAGGCCCATCTAGATATCCCGGGATCTCAGTGATGCTAGAGAAGTATTCCACCAGGGGTATGATTGCTTGAATGGGCGATTAATGTTGGTGCGCTGAAACAACATGAAAGTATATTTCGACGGTCTTCGTTTTGAATACGAAGGCAACAAAATGCAGGTCTTTGAAGCAAAGAGTATTATTCCACTCCCAAACGTTCTGCATCTAAGGGCATTGTACGGTCAATGGGCGGGGTACCTTCAGTATGCTTCGTATAAGTCAAACAAAGCGCCCATAAATTTGGTTTTGACTTGATTTTGGGTGTTGAATACGCTTTCACTGACCTTTATGGTTCTTCTACCCAAGGAGCTGGCTTGGTAGCACTTAATGAAGCGCTGATGCGCAGTGTGCACGCAGACAACACCAGCCGGTATCAATGAGGCATGCTTCCTCTACTATGGCCTCTTTAATGTAACACTTTTAACCCCTAGTTCCAGAGGTACGAAAATATGTTCAAAACTGATTTTTTTCAATTTAGATGGTGAATATGAATTCAAGCTCAGCACGCCGGGACATGAACTGTTCACAGCTTTTGGTCATTTCAAGCTGTCTGGCGAATTCAACCATGCTGAAATGGTCGAGAGGCCGTTGCATATAATTGGCGGCTAAACATTAATATCCAGTTTTCCCTACCAACGAGATGGTAAGTTCGTCATGCGACATGGTAAGTTCGTCATGCGAGATGGTAAGGAATTTGCCATCTTTGTCATTGCTGTCGCTGAGGATGTAACCGTTTCATGTTCAGTTCAATTACGGCTACTCATCTGAAGCGGTCTAACTTTATATCCAGTTCCCAGTTGTTCTGATTTGCAAACCTCAAAACCCGGATGCTTCAGGGAAATAGACTGGGCGTGGATTTCACGCCGCAGGGCCTCCTCACCAAATGTCAATACTGGCCAACCACTTGCTACTTCCAGCACCCGCACCCGCACCAAAAATTCCGTGAACGAGTCCGATCGAAAACGGAAGACACCGTTCATGATTTGCTGATATCGCGTTGAGTGTTATCTCGATCATTATTCCCAGTCAAGTACCTCCGAATTGTGCCGGGCACAGTCGTCGTGGCCACAAAGAAGACTTATTGTACTCGGACGCCGCAAATAACCCTACACCGTGCAGTCCAACTTGACAGTGATATTCGAACTTGATTTTACTCACCGGTGGAAATTTTGCCGGTGCGTACTGGTCGCACCCCTGTTTGCTCTCATCTGGACCTCGATGAGCGAACATGGTGACTAACTGGCAAACCTCGGATGAAGCGGGCCAAAGAATGGGTCCACAGTGCTTCGGGAGCCAAGCTGATATCGCTCCATACCCTTCGCTAGTTGGGCGGTTCAAGCCACATTCTATCTAGCATCTTGTTCCAAAATTCATCTCATGAATTTGGACTAGAACGTCAAACTAAATTTAGTGGGACGGCCCACAGATTGTCTTTACAACCTCAGGCATCACCGGGAGATTGTGTTGTTGTGTGTGTGAGGACTTTGTGATTCATCTATAACACTCTTCAGGTGTCTAGCCGCAATGCCACCCTGAGAAAAACAGAGAGGTGAGACTGCCAGGTAGCTCACACCTAGACAGGGGCAATCGAGATGCAGAGGTCGGATTCGAACCGACCTAACTAACTAACTCAACCCCAACGACTCAACTGCGTTTGCCTGGGCTTTGGCAACTTTGCAGTATCTTGGCCCTCATGTTTTCTTCGGGTACCATAACAGCTGGGTACAGAATAGGTGTTACATTTGGCGCCAATGGCGAAAGCCAGACCAGTTTTCCAGTAACATATGTAGTCTTGCCCAGCGCCGGTCGAAAACGAGGTCGAACAAAGAAAGCCCATGTTCTTTAACCGACTTGCTACTTGGGATTGGCAGCACCGGTAGATGTGGCGAAGAAAGCCAACAGGACCAGCCGCTTGGATGCAGACTTTTCTGCCAGTCTCACTCCTGCACTGGATACGCATCAGTGCTCCCTGACCAGTCCAGACGACTTGTTCCTGAGAATAAATATGGGCTAATATTTTGTGAAGATGTACTAAGTTTATAAATGCCTGCAATTCGAAGTCTCAGAGGAAAAAACAAGAACTTTTGAACATCAATATGCATTGTGCTCTGTACCAGTGTACTCGAACACCGTTGCGTCCCAAGATAGTACCAGTATAATATCAACAACTCATGGCTGCTACATTGAAGTATGCCTCCGGTGTTACTGTTTATATGGGCACTACAATCGTCATGTGTTTCATCCCCGACTCCTTGTGACAGCATCCTAATATGCTATATTGTATTAAAGTTTATACCGCTTCATATAGTCCACAAAATGCTTCGGTTTCACCATTGATAAACACGACTGCAAGCCACACCCGTTGAACATGAGCGGTACCAGACGCATACCAGCACTTGGGACGTGACACCCCTCAGACCAGAAACTGCTCTGTTTGGTGATCGGATGGGAAGCGGGGTGTTCGCGTTCCAAGATCGGTAGAGAGAGCGCTGTGATTGGTCTCTGTGAGAGACCAAGAGAGCTCTGTGGTTGATTGGCCACCCAAATGAGTCTAATGTTGACGGCTCGTTTTCTCTTGGAATCGGCAACCGACATGAAATCTGGTATTACCAGGACACCCAAATCACTTTCCATCATGAACTTTCGAGGTAGAAAGTCACTGAAACAACTCCCTATGGCCAAACTTCCCCTCCTAAGCCAATGATCAAGCCAGCTCTACAAGGCTTCGGGATCATTCCGAAAGTGATTCACATCGGAGGTCGCGACTAACCCCAGGCCTCCTGCATACGTAGAAGATAGAATTTCGAGGCCTTTCAAATAATTGACATGCAGTTCGAACAGTTCCGGACCCAATACAGAACCTTGTGAGTTACTACCACCACATGAGGCTACATCAGAGAGGCTGTCAGCGACTTCGTCCTGTTTACCCGCCATAGAGGAAGTCGCCAATGAATGCGCAGATATTGTGCGTAATCTCTTGTGTGGAGCATGTGCAGGAGAGGCCTGCGGGCACATGGCTCTAGAATTCTGAGATCTATGAGAACGACTTGGGCTATATGGTCGGCATCCACCGCCTCTGTCGATTCCTTTTACGAGATGTCGGACGCGGGGAACGTCGGGTCAAACATGCTCGACTCGGATCGGCTGGCATTCTGACCAATCATGGCATGCCTTGGTTTAGTTCGTGTCCTGCATGTGACATGCGTGCAAATGACGTAATGTTTGGTTATTTGAGACGACTGGCCTCCAGACAATTGTCGTGCTCCACAAGCAGCTTAGGACGAGCCCAGATCATCCATATTTCACTCTTTGGGCATCCGCTGATCCCGACTCAACGGTTTGTACTATCTACGCGTGGGAATTGCACTCAGCCCCGAGGCTGAAAGTGCTTAACTGGACTGGGTTCCAATAAACAGTCGCCTTTGCGCCGTGCGGTTGTCTGGCTCGATTCGGATCAGCGCAGTTCGATGCTGTAAACGGTGTTTGTTTGTCGTATCGGCACACGCCCCAACAGACAGCAGTTCTGAGACCGAACGAATTGTAACGGTATTTTCCTCAACTTCGTTCTTGGTCTGAGCCTCCCAAGCTAGCGTTTATGTCAAAAACATAAGGTCTATTAATGCCCAAAACGAAGTCAAGAACAGTTGCACAGCGCTTCGTATACATAGCGTAAGCGGTTATAACTTTCTGGAATTTCTGACGCGTTCTGGGTGCGGCATTGGCAACCGGCATTTGGCCAATACTGGGTCATGGTTGGCTGTCGGGCCCAGATTGTTGACCAATCAGATCTCGTCTTGATGCCGGACCGGCAAGCGTCCCGTATTCTGGGCCAATCTCGAGCGGGCGAGGCTTATCGGCCGTAGCAGCGCCCAGGGACGCGCGGTATAGTGGTGTAGTATACGTTGTCTGTCAATTTGATTGATTCATATGTAAGTATTGGTGATGTACAACCTTGCTTACTGGGCTCTGGCTCATGAGCTTTGTTTCTGTTTTCCATCCACAGAAATTGTCGTGAACACCTGCCTTCGGAGAATCACTGTCCCCTGGTGCTTCCATAGCGTGCATATTACAAGTGGGATCCGTGTGGATTCCTGCCTAACAGAGGACTAGTTTTATCAATATTTTTCGCGACCGTTTCGGTCGGCAATGAGGACGATATAGCAATCCTGACCGGTGATATGAATGCCCAAGTCGGACGACTAAGTCCGGAAGAAGCACAGTCGCGGGTCGATTTGGAGTCGATGAGGAGCGTACGGACAATGGAGAACGACTCATTCAATTGTGTGCAGATCATCATCTGTTCCTGGCTAGTACGGACTTCCAACATAAACGCTCACACCGCGTTACTTGCAGGCCACCTACCACAAGACAATCGTGGATTCAGTTAGACCCTATGGCTATCAGTTACCGATGGAGAGCCTCAGTTACGGATTGTCGTTTTTTATGACGTACGCAACTTGACTCTGATCACGCCATCGTGCGGGCCCGATTAGCACTTCGCTTTCCTCCAGCACTACGTGTGCCGAAAGAGAGCAACTCCGTTCATCAAATTCGACAAGGTTCATCAGCTGAAGAGTATCGAGCTGATGTAGCTAGAAAGCCACTGAAAACGCGCAGTCTTGTGGACTACGAAGATTGCTTGGAGGCTGGATGGAGCGAGTTATAGAAGCGATGCTTTTAGAACTGTTTGTCCAACCCATCTGACTCGACTCAATGAACACTAGATATTTTCGAGATCAGCCGATCTTATTGCTGCCAGAAAGGTCATACCAGCAACTAGCGAATATAATCACGCACTGAAATCCCTAAAACACCGGATAATCAGGAGCCTGAAGAACGAAACATGAGGCTGGTGGATTCCGAAGGCCCTGGAGGTGGAGGCTTTCGCCGCAGGCAACAGCCACACCCTTTTTCAACTGACTCAGTCAACCGATCAAAAGAAGATATGTGTCCATTAAACAGGGTGCGAAAAAGACGGAACAGCCATTCATTCCCTCAATCGCCGTCTTCGGCGGTGAACTGAGCACTTCCAAGAACAGTTCACCTGGTTCCCTCTAACACAACAGCTGGAAGAACCAAGTGGGCCCGAATGAAACATTGACACAAGCCCACCATCAGCAATCGAAATCCAGCGTGAGATTTCAATCATGAAGCGCGAAAAGGCACCTGTTCCTAATGGTCTACACCCCGGGCTCTTCAAGGAAGATGGAGAGGTTCTGGTGAACAGTCTGACAATCATGCTGTAAAAGATTTGGAACGAAAACAATACCAGCCGAATGGATCTCCTCTACCGTCATTCCAGCTTTCAAAAAGGGAGCAAGAACGTCATATATAAAAGATGATGGTATCGGCCTGGTATCTGTCGCATCTAAAGTGCTCTCTGGCGTTAGTTTGCGCAGGTTGATGGACTACCGGGAGAAACAGATTTGTGAGGATCAAACTGGGTTTCGCTCCGGTCGAGGATGCATCGATATATTACCTTGAGATAAATTCTTGGACAGCGCCACTCCTTCATATGTTTCACGTTGGTAGTTTTTCTGGATTTGAAGACTACTTTTGATTCTGTCGATTGTCAGCAACTTTACCATTGTCTGGGAATCAGATGTGTCTCTTCCAAATATCTGTCCATTATGAGGGCACTGTATGCGAACTCCTGTGGACGCGTACGAGTTTACGGGAAGCTCTCGCCTGAGTTCACTACGTCCAGTGTTGTAAGACAAAGCCGTCCTCTTCCCCCTTTTCTCTTTAACTTTCTTATTGATATGCTGCTTGGATTTTCTCTGCCTGCCTCTAAAACCTCGGGAATCGAAATGCTACCGGGACGTTCCCTCACAAATATTGAGTGTACAGACGATATTGCTCTCCTTGGTTCAGATCCCAAATGCAAACGACTTTAAATAACCTGAATAACTCTGCCACATGGTTTGGAATGCGCTTCACATCTGCAAAAAGCTGCTACAAGACTGGGTGGAATCAAACCCACTTTTCATGCTCGTAGGTGATCTGATCGATGTGGTAGAGTGGCTGGAGATGAGTTTATTTCTCGAATCGGAAAGGCCAGGACAGCTTTTACCAACCTCCGACACCTATGGCGCCGACGTGGCGTGAGTTTACCTGTCAAGAGAAAAGTTTACTTCGCGGTGGTGCGATCCATACTGCTTTATGGATCAGAAACGTGGCCCCTATGCGCAGAAAACATAGGGAGATGTCAGTGTTTGATCATCGATGTCTCCGAAGCATTGGTCAGGTCTGATTGGAACGGCAGTGAAGCATCAGTGCCAACATTGATGTTTCTGTCTTTGATGGTGATGATGATGGGAACATCGGGTTAGTAATGCTGTGGTACGCCAGATGGTCTTAAAAAGAAGAAACTCTCCCATCATCATCATCATCAACGACAGCATGACATCAGTGCTCAACACCAATGCTTCACTGCCGTACAGCCATGACTTATTTGAAAGCCTTATTGTAAAGAAAAGAATAAAGGTGGATGGGGGAGGGACTTAGTGCTAGCTTAACACAATCATTCCGAGGTGCCTACACCTCCAGAAATTCACTCAGGCAATCTGGACAGAAACTGACAACAAGAACGCCACTGACATCGGGTGCCAGCCATATCTTGTAGTGTCTCCAACCAGGCACAGTGAGGATCACACGGTCCCCATCCTGGAAGGCGAGTAGAACCCCGGGACGTTCCCTCACAAATATTGAGTGTACAGACGATATTGCTCTCCTTGGTTCAGATCCCAAATGCAAACGACTTTAAATAACCTGAATAACTCTGCCACGCCACATGGTATGCGCTTCACATCTGCAAAAAGCTGCTACAAGACTGGGTGGAATCAAACCCACTTTTCATGCTCGTAGGTGATCTGATCGATGTGGTAGAGTGGCTGGAGATGAGTTTATTTCTCGAATCGGAAAGGCCAGGACAGCTTTTACCAACCTCCGACACCTATGGCGCCGACGTGGCGTGAGTTTACCTGTCAAGAGAAAAGTTTACTTCGCGGTGGTGCGATCCATACTGCTTTATGGATCAGAAACGTGGCCCCTATGCGCAGAAAACATAGGGAGATGTCAGTGTTTGATCATCGAT